TCATCCTTACATGTTTGCTAAATGTCATCTTTAAATCTCTATAAGGGCAAGGTATTCAAATACACAGTCCTCTTCCTTCCTGGGGTCCTGAGAGGGAAGAGAATTCCCGGGCTGGCTGAATCCTGGATGGGCCGGCTCCCAGGGAACAGCCCTGTTAGGCCTTAACTTCTGAGATGCCTAGAATGATTCCCCAGGCAGGTGAAGGAGCTGCAGGCTGGACCCTTGCTGAGCCCGCATCTTCATCTCCGGTTAGTGAGGGCACCCTGTCCGGTGTCCATGGTCTTCCATCTCTTGGATTGATCAACATGAGTGGGAAAGGCACACAGATTTTTTGCTTAGTCTAGTTTGAAATGGATATGGCATCTCTGAGATGGAATCACAAGAATGTGTCCAAAACAGGCCTGAGGAGGGTGTACCATTCTGCAAAAGGAAAGTTGTTCCCAGAAGTGAATGGGGAAGCGGTGGCAACACTGGCAAGTGGTATCTGAAGAATAAAGTTTCTGAATTGTTTCCATAAATGATTTGGGAATTTTTCTCCCTTCCAAAAGGCAAGCAGATAAGAATCACAGTGGGGGCAGGGACCAAGGCCAAAGCCTACACTCCTCAAATGCTCCCTGTGGCTATGGTCGGAGCTTCTAAGGGCAGGGCTTCTGCTGCACAGCTGCAGTTGTTGCCCTCCCTTTTCCAGGGCTGTTCGGGTCTCAGGCTGGAAGCCATTTGGATGATAGAACCTTGAGGCAGGAGTCAGAATAAAGAAGACTGGTGGTTCTTCTCAACTCATTAGGGAGTGCAGAGGGGTCATTCAAGTCCTTTAAGGGGTCAGTCCTAAGCAGGATATTCATGGGGGTGCCCAAGAATCTCACCCCCTCCTCCTGAAACTTGAGAGGGGAGCTCAGCACTGTCCGGTGCCCTGGCAAGCAGGCGCTGTTTAGAATCTGCGTGGGGAGTCCCGGGTCACACAGAGGGGTAGCTTCTGCCAGAGACCATCAGTTGTTCATCAAGTTCCTCCAAAGGTGTGTACTCATGGCCTTGTTCCTGAAAGGAAACTGGAGGTGATAGGAAACAGCAGACATGGGATACCCCGAAGATCACTTCCCCCCAAGGGAAGGCATACTGACCTTGCTAACTTTTGTCAGTTGAGCCTTGCTTCCCTAGTTTAAGACCCAGAAATCTTTTAAACATCCCCCGCAATTGGGCACCAAGGAAATGTTACCAGCAAAGCTGTGTGGGCTCTTTCCTCAGCTTAGTATAGTGATAGAAAGCTGGGAATCAGTTGCAGACAGAGTTTTATCTGCAGAGTGAACATGTGAACATGGAAAGAAGGGAAAGCACTTCTAGGAGGAATGCAGAAGATGAGAGGGTTTCCAAAAGTGTCTTGGGTTTTTAAGGGTTCCCTGGCTCCTCCTTGTCTAGGAAGGAACTTGCGAAAGATCTTGCCCATTGGTGAGTCACATCCATCATTGGTAGTTCATATGATAGAGGTCCAGCTTCCTGGCTAAGGCTTGGCCTTAGCCTTGGTCATTGTAGCCACTGAGAGAGTAAACCAGCAGATAGAGGATTTCTCCCTGTCTCTTTTAAAAATGTGAAAGAGTGAGGGATGGAGGTAGAGAAGAAAAGAAAGAGAAAAAGATAGAGAAAAGAAACTATGAAGAGCCCCCAACCTTGCCCAGTCCTTTCGGGCAGGGCAGCTCAGAGGAAACACCAGGCAGACTTTTTTTCGTCTTTGTCTCACTACATGAAGGCTTTACTTTTGTATATGTGGGGAATTTTTTATATGTGGGGAAGGTTTTTTTTGGCTTTGGGCTTTTCTTTTCTAGAGATTTGTTTTATTTCTTTGGAAGACAAAGCAACAGAGAAGGATTGATAGACTCCTGTTAAGAGTTTTGCCTTACACCTTAGGGCCGAGAGCTCTTTGAGAGCAGGACCTTGACTGAGCTGGCTCTCTCCAGCACATGCCACACTGCTGGTATCCAAGAAGGCTAGGTTACAAGCAGAGCAGCAGCTTATGAGTGAAATAAAGTAGCAGGCTGCTGATTTTCCCCATAGCATGAAATGTGATATATTTACTAAGGTAGGCGAGATAAGTATTTCATTGCTATGTTTACCTTGCTATGGGATATATCGTGTACATAGGAATGCATACGGGTAATATAAGTGATTTGAACACAGCAGACATTCATGTAACCACTATACAGATCAAGAAACCCAGAGGAGCCCAGAGGCACCCAGGTACCCGCTCTCCATCTAACATCTCCTTTTTTCCTCTCCCCAGGAAGAAACCATTGTTGTGGCTCTCATGATAAACTGAAGCATGTTGTTATATTTCCTTTGAGATTGGCTTCTTAAGCCATGTTGCTGAGTCTGGTCGTGATACATTCTCCCCATTGTTGTAACATTCCATGCTATGACTGTGTCACAGTGCAGTATCCAGCTCTCACTAGTAGATGGGATTTTTCCAGGTGGAAGCCTGGTGTAAACAGTGTTTCTATCAACATTGCCCTGTTCATTTTCTGTAGTGCTTAGACACGACAAGTCTCGGCTGTTTTCTTCTGAGAATTCATTCTTCTTCTGGAAACACTGAAGTTCCTGGGAGTTGCAAAGTTGATGCTGGTTTACATAAATAAGATCTAGGTAAACATAGAGGTGAAAAAAATTTCCCAAACTATGGACAAGAGTGCCCACAACAAATGTGTTAAATACAGATTACAAGACCTAGCCCCAACCTATATATGAGACCTTCTGGAAAGGTCTTGGAAAGTGGCACTTTAGCAAACTCTTTCATACACACACATCTTAGGTGAGTCATCAGGAATCCGTGTTTTTTGTTTTTTAAGATTTATTTTTATTGGAAAGGCAGATCAAATTTACAGAGGACAGACAAAGAATTATCTATGCACTGATTCACTACCACCCCCAAGTGGCCATAACAGCCAGAGCTGAGCCAATCCGAAGCCAGGAGCCAAGAGTTTCTTCCAGGTCTCCCATGCAAGTGCAGGTGCAGGAGCCCAAGGCTTTGTGCCATTCTCTACCACTTTCCCAGGTCATACACAGGGAGATGGATGGAAACTGAACCAGTGCCCATATGGGATCCCAGCATTTGCTAAATAAGGATTTAGCCACTGAGACATCCTGGCCCATCTTTGTAGGTACCCCCTCCACATTTGTAAACTTTAATGAACTCTCTCATGGCCTCAAGCCACTGGATGTAGCCAGCTTCCGACTCCTATCCCCACCTCCATACAGACATGCACGTGCTGAATCTTCCCAGCAATTCTGCAATTTGCCTGTGTCAGGAGCAGCTCCAGCTTGGTTTCCCTCATGCCTAAGCATGTCCACAGATAATCAAGGTTGACAGTAAACAGAGCTCAGGCCCATTTTTTCAAAAACAACATCAAGATCACTATTTCATTTGCTGGTTCACAACCCTCCATCTCCACCCCCAGCCCCTCAAATGCCCACAATAGCTCAAACTGGGCCAGGCCGAAGCCAGGAGCCCAGAACACCTGGTTTGCAGAGACTTGAGTACAGGAGCCATGACCTGCTGCCTCTCAGGTTACACATTAGCAAGAACCTGGGTTGAAAGTGGAGCCAGAACTCCAACCCAGGCATCCTGATGGAAATGCAGGTGGGAATTGGAGTTGGGAAAGTGGGGAAATCAGGTCATATTCCAAGCATGGTGTTAAGCACAGCGCTGAACACCTGCCACACAGCTGTTTCACTAAGTGGTGATGCCTTGCACCAATTTTCCTGAAGGAGCCTGAAGGATATTTGTCAACATTTATCTTGGAGGAAAGCAAGCCTCCAGTGTCACCCTGGCCTCCAGGATGCTTTCAATGCTTGGCCAGGCCTCCCCCTTCTGTAGATGACACACATATGACAGGACAATCTTAGAGGAAGGTTTGACGCCTTCATGCCCAGAAAATTAGTTCCCTTCCTACTTCAGGTGCTGTGGCTCCATATGCCAGTACACCAAGGATACAAAGCACACACTGCCTTTCAAAACGTTCCCATGAGGGTGTCCCACGTTTGCTTGCTTCTCCACACATCCTTGTCCCCCCTAATCTTTGCCCTGTTCCTACCCTGTTCCAAAGATTGCAGACCCTTCCAAAGTCTCATTTTAAGTGACTCCGGAATTCTTCCATGCTGCCTGACAGTACATTTCCTGCAAAGGGCAGTTGGCCATTGCTGCCATCATTTTTAAATTTCCAAAATCTTTTAGAGCAGTACCCGAATACCCTGTCCCCACAAGCTGTATCCTCTCAGCTATCAACAGTGGGCCATGCATTATAATGCACACTTTGTTAATACATCATTATCACCCAGTCTGGTCCTGTCTGTATGCTGTACTGTCTGACACAAGGTGTAATGACATGTCTGTTAATCGGAACATCACTGCCCTAAAAATGCTGTTTTGCCTATCCTCACCTCCTCCGTCCCAACACCTGGCAACCACCAAGTCCCTTTGCCTTTTGCAGAACGCCTTACCATTGGAACTATGCAGCTTTTTCTTGTTTACCTGTTCACTTATTTTCCTCCATGTATTTTCATGGCTTTCTAGTTGTTCCCAAGTACCAGTTTACAAATTTCTGCAATTAGCTATAAAGCAGGTATAAACATTCATGTACAGATTTTATATTTAGGTAAGTTTTCCACTCATACATACCAGAGTGCAATTACTAGATAATATTAGATTTAAAAAAAAAAAACTTAGTTTCTTTAGAAACAGCAGTCTCCTATGACAACTAATACCCAGCAGCAATGAGAGTTTTAACTGCTCCATACCCTTGCCAGCATTTCATGCTTCCATTGTTCTGAATATTGGCCATTCTAATGGATGCGTTATTACTTCAGGTGCCCAGTTACTAGGCAACTGCACTTCATTTTTTTTTTCTTTGTGGTCCAAGGCTTTTAAATTTTGTTGAGCAAATTATAAGCAGGCACTCTTCAGTTATTTACAATCACTTAAGAGTAACTGTACTTTTCTATCCTCTTAATTATAGATCAACGCAGAAGGGACGCCAGAGGAAGTTTTTCTTCAACTTTGCACAGCTATTGACTCTATTTTCTGAAGGCAAAAATGCAAGTATCTTAAAAGAGAGTGGAAACAGAAAACCAGTAAAGGGTTCACCCCTTAACACACTTCGAGTTAAACCTTTCGTGCTCCCAAATCCTGACATCAGTGTTGTTTGCTTCTCAGCTAGGCCTGTGTGGGAGGTATCTGGATGTCATGCATGGTGTCCTTGGGCTGATCAGCCTTTCCATCAGTCAGGAAAGCTGTCCTCGCTCACAGCACATACTGTTACCACATACGCTGCACTTCCTGCACTTCAGCAGTGTAGTGCCAGTCTGCCAGCTGTGACCCCAAGACTTGCTGCAGTTCTGATCACTGGGTCTCGCACCCTAAGGTCCTATCACATCTTCCTTTCTCCCCAAGATTAACATGCTGTTCCCTGAAGGTCTCAACCCTGGGCAGCAGTCCCGGCATTTGTCCTCTGGTGGCCGAGTTGGTTTCCTAACTTCTCATCCACTTGTGGTTCAGAGGCAGGGGGGTTGACTAGAAAATGACATGTACACCACAGAGGTGTCCATGTAAAGTAAAACCTGACAGATTCCTAAGTGAAACTGAACAGTTCCCAAGACAGCAAATCCCGGGTTATCAGTGACAAATGGCTAAGAGAACAAGCTTAAGATTATATATTACCTAGCCTCTTCTCTACATGGTGATAGAATTTCAGCAATTACAAATTACCATCAGTGACCAAAAGTAATTTAAAAGTCAGAGATGACTTTTTACTCTTACCAAACATCAACTTATAATTTTGATTTGTAATTAACCACCCATTTGCTTATTGTCAAGGAGGTTACAAATACAACTACCAAAATTGATGTGGGTGTGTGGGGCCGTCAGTGAGAAGGCATTAGCAGATTCCAGTGTTGTGCTTGTTTCATATGGACCCTTTTCAGGGCTTTGCAACTTTACATCCAACCAATGGAGTCTGGGTTCTCTTGTGTGCTACCACGTGTCAGACCGGCGTTCTTAACGTATCCTAATAAAATAACCGCACCTTCTATTCTGTCACTAGACAAGACCATAGTTGTTCAGTTTGCATGATTTTTTCCTTCAATGGTTGTGAAGATAAGGATCCACTTCTAGGACAAAATTGCATTTTTAAAGTCTTTTTTCTTGAAACGGATATGTACAAATAAAAGAAATGGAAGACAGGATAATGCTTTTTCATTTATTTATAACTCACATCATTCTGGGAAGCATTTTAAGCCTTAATCCAAACAAAATTAAAAGCCAACATATAAAAAATAGCTGAGATTTCTGGTATGTTCATATGGTTTTAATTTTGGCCATAGATCAGTTTCGAGCTATTACACAAGGAATTCTTAATGTAATCATAATACAAGGTAACTTTCATTTTGTTTTTTCTCTTGCCTTCATTCTTAAACAGAAAAACCAGTGTTTGCTATAGAAGCAGCTAGATTTCTTTGGTTACAATTATGCCTCTGTTAATACAAAGGGGCATGTTCCCACCGCTCACAGTCATCCAATCCTTGACCACTACCCGCCCCCCCCCAGTTGTTACGCTCTTCATGGGGGAGCAGGAGTATTTGAGCTAATTAGAACAGTGTTACAGGATGAAAATTATCAGTTGTGCCAGAAAACACACAATGACCCTTTATACGAATTAAAATTCTTCAAACACATGTCACATTTCGGCAAACACAGTCCCTGCCAATACAGCTGTGGCTGCATGGGGAAAGGGAAGTGAGCCCAATCAGCAAGAGCCTCTGGCTTGACTCTTGAAGAGTTTCGGAGGGGGAGAGGAGGCCAGGGGGTTGGGGTCGCAAATCAAGTCTTCCAGAGAACAACCAAAACATGTCACCAGTCTGAATGGTTTGAGATGACAGCACCACTTCAAAGCCCAAGGGCTTTAAAACAGGTGGAGACCTGAGAGGTCTGTGCCCAGCTAAGGACTTTGTGTCTAGAAGACATCAGAACACACCAACTCATTTTCAGCAACCTGCATTTAAGGCCACACCTGAGCTGGGCCTCTGATTCCACCAGCTACTCTCCTCTTGCTCTCTTGGCTTAACTGACACTGGTCATGCTAACGTTGCTTCAGCAAGCCCAGCTCCTCACCGGCTTAAGGCCCTTCCCTCTGCCTTACAGATTAGCTATCCATGAGGCAGCCCTCCTCTCTTCACTTGGTTCTCTGTCCAAATTTGCCCTTGTCGAGGGTCTTTTGATTATTCAGTCTAACATAGCAAGCTCTTTTCCATTCTCCCAATATTTTTCTTCCAAGATTATTATTATTTTTTTTACATCTTTTATCTTACCACTGCAAAATAAATCTTTCCATTTATGACTTTTGTCTAGGCAGGGCTTGCACCAAGCATGCAAGTGTTTTCCTAATTCACAAGTGCACACATGGCACTGATTACTGAAAACAAACATATGGAACTTCTCTGTGCCTCCAGTTCTCCCATCTGTAGGGGTTACACTCTCACAGAGTTGTAAGGACTAACCTAGTTAATAATACTCGGAAATCACTATTCTTTCGTGCTCAATGAAAGGTCACTCTCTATATTTATTATTTTACCTCCACATCAGGACTAGAATTTCCACTCCAGTGGCCTTTCCATTAAATCATCCTAAAGATATCGCAGATACATGGTTAACTGAAGTCCCACAGAAGACCAAGACTATGCGAGCCAGGCAGGATTGAAGCACACGCACTGCACATGGGTTCCTATGCTCTCCCAGCCCTGGAAAGGACATCTCCTGAAGCAAACCTTCTGGGGTACACAGACACACTGAGGCACTGGTGCCTTCTCCTTAGAGGAATCTAACTCACCAAAAGCTTGGTCAAACAACAAACATTCATGGAGAGTCTTTAAAAAAGAAAAAAAAGCTAGGCTCCAAAGATAGACACACAGGATAGCCTGTTCTCATGGAGCTGCATGGGACATAATTCTCTAAAATCTGCTTAATCAGCTACATGAACTATGAAAAGGTAGGTTTTTGTTTTGTTTATTTTTTTTTGGTCTAGGATCATACAAACAGCAGTACTTTTTCAAAGTAAGAAATAAAAGCAAATGCTTTACAGCCTAAAAAAAGGAAGTCCCAGGTGTGGCACAGCAACTTAAGCAGCCACCTGCAACACCAATGTATCATATGAGCAACAGTCTGTTCCAGCTAATCCAGTTCTGATCAGCTCCCTACTAATGAGCCTAGGAAGATAGAAGAGGGCCTGAATACCTGGAACTCAGCCAAGTGGGAGACCTGGATGGAGTTCCAAGTTCTTGGCTTTGGTCTGGCCCAACGGACTGTAAAAGCTACTTGGGAAGTAAACCAGAGGATGTAATACCTCTCTCTCTCTAACTCCGCCTTCAAATAAATAAGTAAACCTTATTTTTAAAAAAACAATGCTTTCCAGCCCAGTGCGGTAGCCTAGTGGCTAAAGTCCTCAACTTGCTGACATCAGAATCCCATTTGGGTGCCAGTTTTGATCCCGGCAGCCTCGCTCCCCATCCAGCTCCCTGTCTGTGGCCTAGGAAAGCAGTGGAGGAAGGCCCAAAGCCTTGGGACCCTGCACCCACGTGGGAGACCTGAAAGAGGCTTCTGGCTCCTAGCTTCAGATTGTCTCAGTTCTGGTCATTGTGGCTACTTAGGAGCGAATCATCGGACAGAAGATCTCTCCTCCTCTCTGCGTATCTGACTTGCCAATAAAAATAAATAAATCTTATAAAAAACAAAAACAAGCAAGCAAACAAAAAAAACAACGCCTTCACAATCTTATGGGAAAACACTCTTAGAACCTGTGGCCTCCCAAGCCCATCCAACAGAGCTACATCAAGACTTCAAACTTTGTTATTTGCAGTGAGAAGTGACAGTACACCAAACCTGTAACTGAAAACCTCACAAACTAATACTTATTCTTACTAAATGCACACACATACACACACACACACACATATGCACACAATTTTTCTTTTTAAAAAAATGTTCCTCAAGCTTAAATAAATGGTTACATTCTGTAAGGAAGAAAAATGGGTAAGTAAAAGGCACCAAGCATGCAAGTGTTTTCCTAATTCACAATGACTGAATATTATAGTATTTTTCCTCTATCTACAAATAAGGGAATCTTGTATTACCAATGCAGAAATGGGGTTCAGGCTTGTATTCTAGGAACCATGTGACACCAGAAAAACAGAATGGACACCAACCCCATGCACACCTCCACTTCTGATACCACAGCTTGCCAATGCGAGTGTTCTTGTTTGGGACCAACGCTGATGCAAGTGAGTCACTGCCCAGGTTAAGGTCCAAGCATCACCACTTGACAAACTTTATGATCTTCTTGGGCAAATCATCTCATTTCTCCCAGCTTCATGTCCTTGTAAGATAAACAGGGCAGTAAAAGAACTTGCCTCATAGGGCTTTGAAGAACTGAGTACATTACTGCATACTTGCTTGGCACACAGTAATCACCATCAGTGTCTGCCATGATAATTAGTGCATCACTCCACTGCCTGAACCTTTGAGTATAAGTTTTACATGTCATTAAGTCTCTTCAGTTGCTAGAAAATAACTTGAGCATAATATAACAGGGAACAGATCTAACTCAGTGAATACTATTTAATGAGCAATGCTTTAACAAGTATGTTTCTTACAGCCAACACTTCTTAAAAGCAGATGGAAAACATACTTGTAAATGACAGCCCTGTGCATTCATGCAACCCTCAAATTAAAGCAGCATACTACCTCTAATTCTGTTCTTAGCAAACTTTTTAAAGCCTTGGGGGACTATTTGGTTACAGTTGAAAATTCCAAAATAAACACATCTGGATCCAGCATAAAATAATCCTCTTTACCAATCCAAAGTCTCAAAATCCTTGCTCTTGAAAAATGCATCCAAGTGAGTTTGCCTATTTTGTTTATACAACAATATCATTCACAGTCCTTTTCCAAAGCATTTTTCATACTTTGCAAGACTTCTGAATGTACCTGAGTTCTCCAAAACTAACTAGTATTATATCTGTACAAACACAGAAGTTACCATCTGCTAATGTCTTGGCTAATCACAGGTTCAAAGCAGGTATATTGGCAGATGCATGACACTGAATACCAATCAAAATGTCCAAAGTTCTAACAATATCCTCTGCTCAATAGGAATCCTAGAGTGAAAGTCCATTTACTTTTCTTTCCAATTATATTAATACTATCGAAAAGCTTTAATAAATATATTAAGTTCTTAATTCTTTAACTTAAATTCCATTAATTGCCTCAATTTAAAAGTCTGAAGGTATGATTTACTATACTGTTATGTACTGAAGAGAATAAATAATACCTCCCGAACTTAAAACAGGTCACTAAATATCAAAGGACGCATAACACCTATTCCATCTTAGAATATTTATGCTATCCTTTCCTAATTATCAGAAACCACATGGGGTAAAGATTGCAGTTTTAAGTTTAATGTTCACATCTGGGAATAATAATTGCCTTTTTCTTTAATCGTGGTCTGTTTACTTTCTTTGTCTTCTTTTTTTAAAATAAATTAACTTACTGCTCCTGCACACAGCGACGGAAAAGAAGAGCATTTTCCACCTCACTTCTTGATTTCACTCTTCCATCATATATTCCTTATTCCTTAAAAAGGACTCAGAGAATGCACTTGCATATATAAAATAAATTCTTTTAAAACATCCAAGCTCTACACTGGTAGAACATCAAAGCCTTAGGCAAAAGGAAGTCACAACAAGCATTCTATAATATAAACAGACAGTATCCACATAGTTTATTTCTCACAGTTCTCCTGACAAATGAACATTATTCAAGAACATACTGTGTACAGATAAGAAGAAACATACAAAACGTTTTAAATGATACACAACAAAATCCAGCAGTATAAAAGAATGCATGTGAACTCTTGCTCACTGTGCAGACTAAATTTAATCACTTGTTTAAATAGTAATAAAAATACAATCTTTTATGGGATCTTGTGCAGACTACAAAAGAGGGAAATTATTACCATATATATGATTTTATATTAGGCAGTTTTCTTTGAATGAGCTGTACTGACAACTCCAAATACAGAGGCAGAAGGCTGTGTATTTTAAAGGAACTAATGTTGTGAATTAGACTTTACACAGTTACTACCACTGGCACTTTTCACCGTAGTTTGTACACATCACATGATCATTTTATGTAACATTACATTTAAAAAATATATCTGAGTGACAATTTATAACATTCACACACCATGAGCTGGTTAAGGAAGCGGTGCCACAGTTGCCTCCTGTAGTGCTTCGCTGTTGGTAATAAGGACAGTTCATTGTGGTTAAAAGAAATTAGATATATCAATATGGTTAAGCAGCTCCAATTTACTAAAGGCCAACAATGACCATCACTGGGACAGTGAGTTCTTTTAAAATGGATATCCTAGAAGCAAACACCATCATTGGTTAAAACTTTGCCTAAAGAAGTCAGTTCCTGTGCTGAAAACTATTTTCACAAAACTGAAAGCTACTAAACTGTTTTTAATATAAATACTTTGTCTTCTCCTTATATTTATGACCAAGAACTCTGAAACCTTTGGAATTTACTCTCACTTTCAAGTGTGCTCTCGTTTCCATCTCACCTATTTAAGATCACCACCTAAAAGGCTTTTAAAGTGGTGGTGAAAACTCACCAGGAAACCCTTTGCTCACCAGGAATGTTCAGCTGCTGGACAGTGATCTAGAGCCACAACTGTGCAGAGCTTGACTTGACGAGAACACTCAGGAAGCTCTCATGCTGTGAGTGTCATTTCAGGGAAAGCAGAGAATCTTTCCAAACTGCGTACATACTTAACAATGATACCATTGCTATGTATTGAAGAGGACTAGTAAATGATGTTCTCTTCCATGTCATCTGTTGGCGGGAAAGTAGTTTGGGTCAAGGTAATTATAACTGGTGCCCTGGGACACACAGTAGTCTCTGTCTAAGAATGTCTCTGACCTATAAATAGGTTCTAATTGGTGATCTTCCTTGTGGATATCTGTTTCGTGTAGGCTAAAAAGAAAACACACAAAAACATTATTACTGCATGCATTTGTGCATTACAAAACTTTCCTACAGCTCTCTTTAAATCTATTATTTTATCAACGTTTCTAATGGAAAGCTACATGAGGTATGGAATAATCAGATGAATTCCAACTGCTCAGAACAAAGTTTTAATTCACTAAATGTGACTATTTTCTAAGAAGCTTAGAGATCAAATTAAGTGACTAAGAAGCTTTGTACCTGACAGAACACTTACCAGTCAGAACAAGAATCACAGAAATCCAAAGACATTTCTGGAGGACAATCCTGGCAGTGCCACCGAACACCCTGGATGGGCTCTATGCCACAGTTATCACACTGTAACAGATTCAGAGGGAAAATTGTTACGTTATAGCCTTTCTCAAGCTTTTGTGTTTCCTACTGAGAAATGTGATGTAACAGATATCGTCTTTTCCTTCCTCTGCATGTGCTGGACAGTAAAAACACAAAAGGTTTGTCACTTAAACAGATACATTCTCTAGCAAAGTAGGCAAAATTCTCACGACTCAAGATCAAGAATCAGACGGGCAGAGGGCATAATATAAGGAAATAATCTTCAATTTGCTCTAACCCATTGAAACTTTAAAATCAAATCATCTCAAACTGGGACATCTGCTTAGGGAGATCAGTGTTGAAAAACACTAGTATTATGATTAAAATGACCCAAACATGTTACAGCAGTGCTTTAGGAAAACAGCAGAAAAAACTTTTTTTTTAACCTTAGATAACACAAACGAAAGCAATCACAAAATCCTATCTTACTTAACAACCAACATGCATTATAATAAAAAGACTGAACTCTTTCTCACATGGTGGCATTTCTGTGCAGTTCTGGAGAAGTCAGAATAAACTCCATTTCTAGTCTATTTATCATTAAGCCTACTAGAATAGCAGAGAGACGTGCAAACAAGGCACAGCTGGGTTTTCCAACTCGTGTTTTGGTAAGTGGTTTGAGTATCCTTTGAAAGGTTAGAACTGCTGGTTAGGAAAATCCAATGGAAAAGCAGAGTCACTGAATGGTTGGGGTAGAGGTAACATTTATTAAGGCTAATCACTGCTTCAGAAGGTTAGAGGAATAATTTCATTTGTAGTTTATTTTGTCAGCAATGTTGCACATCTCAGTATTTCTATGTATACCACCAATATCAGGTTCATAGCCTCATTATCACGTTCTTTAATTTGATCAAGCATAGCTGCCCACACCTGTCATCTTCTTTCAGTACTCATATCCAGCAGGTAAGACACCTCAGCTCCTGCCTAGATTATGAAAGGAAAGTCTGAATACGGTCCTTGTCTTTAGACTTGCCCTCTTCTAACCCACTCTTTATTCTACAATCAGAAAAATTGCTTTGTTCCTCATATTTTTAATTACATAAAATAACCCACAATAATCCACTGCTTTACCATATTTAACAATATACAGTCAGAGAATAATAGCTATTCAGCTCTATACTCTATGTCTTCCTAAACTTTATCAATATTGGCTGTTTAAATTCCTTATGGGAATGAGAACAGCCTAAAAACAGGAACTGGGCCCATTTTATTTACTGCTGATTCACTATATACTGTGTGTTTCAAAATTTTAAGCAATTGGATAATGAGATAACAACAACACCACAAAAGAAACAGCTACAGAATAATCTACCTCACATCCTAAATACTTACATGTTTGTCGTCTTTCTGGTTAATCACACATACGTCTCTTGACATCATGAACACTAGAACACCATTTTGTGTAAACAGCAAAACAGGAGATACACTTGCAAGTTGTAGAGTTGAACACAGCAGAAACCATTTTAAAGTATATTTTTTACACCTTTCAAAAATTAAGTAAATCAGGGGGACCCAACACGATAGTGTAGTGGTTAAAGTCCTCAATTTGCAAGCACCAGGATCCCATATGGGCACCAGTTCTAATCCCGGTGGCCCTGCTTCCCATCCAGCTCCCTGCTATGGCCTGGGAAAACAGTTGAGGACCCAAAGCCTTGGGATCCTGGGAGACCGGGAGGAAGCTCCTGGCTCCTGGCTTCAGATTGGCTCATCTCCAGCCATTGCGGCTGCTGGGGAGTGAACAATTAGACAGAAGATCTTCCTCTTTGTCTCTCCTCCTTTCTGTATATCTGACTTTCCAATAAAAATAAATAAATCTTTTTTAAAAATTAAGTGAATCGGAAGAGTAAGCAGAATTTACCTTGAAGCCAACATGCTGCACAAATCCACTTTCAGCCTGCATTTGCTGAAGTTTTTGCTTCTTTAATTTTTTAAACTGTAATAGTTCTTTATATTCAGGTAAATTCCTATACATGAGAGGAATACTTTCTTCATCCTATTGAAAAGAACACAAAAGAATATAAAAATGTTAGATTGACGATTACAATAAACTAAATTAAGAAATACTGATACTGACAATTTCCCCTGGCAAAATACCATTTTTCCCTTCCAAGATAACTTACTTTTTAACATTTAAAGAAAATTAGTGACACTACTAGCAATATTTTATACCAAACTTTGTGGAGCACTTTTCCTATTGATTTAGAGACAGAAAGAAAGATAGAGATCTTCCATCTGCTGATTCACTCACAAAATGGGGGCAAAGCCAGGGCTGGACTAAGCCAAATCAAGGAACCTAGAACTGCTCTGCGTCTCCAACATGGGTGCAGTGGCACAGGCGCTTGGATCACCTTCAGCTGCTGTCCCAGCCACACAAGCAGAGAACTAGATCAGAAGCTGAGCACCAGTGCCCACATGAGACGCCAGCCTTGCAAGCAGTGTCCAACTGGAGGACTTTCTAATGTTAAAGTAATGTCAAGTGTGACCAAAGACTTTAAGATGCACATACAAGGAAGAAAATGAAATGGCTATGTCTGACACAGACTGATACAAGCCCAGCCCCATTTTTACACATGCATGATTACCTCACCTCATCTATTTTTCCTAGAACTATAGGAAGCTTACCTTGTCAACCTAATTTACACTTGCTGCTACAAATATAACATCCTAATAACAAACAAATCATTTTCTGCTCTATACTTCCAAGATCAAGGTAATACATTTCTTTCTCAAATGGATAAACTACATAACAAAGATGACTAGTCAGAACAGATTGTAAGAAAGGGGAGTTGAACTGGCCTTCAAAAAACTGACAATCAAAAAACTTAAGATTCCCAACTTTTAGATACATAAGAGTCTTCAGAAAGCTCATGGACAATGCATATTATAAAAAACAAATAAACAAACAAATAAAACTACACAAGGATTTCTACTTTTTTTTTGCCAAAATAAACTTGCCATTTAATTACATCTTTCCTGAACTTGCTGAAGTACTCACCTATGTTCAGAAACATCATTCCTGCCCTCAGACTAGTGATTTTATATTCAAAGTGCTAACATGCAAAATCTATTTTAAATTTTAGATAGAGGCTGACATTATGTTGCCACCTGCAACACAGGAATCCCACGTGAGTGCCAGTTTGAGATGCAGCTGCTCTTCTGACCCAGCTCCCTGGTAGGGCTCCTGGGAACGCAGAAGGCAGCCCCTGTGCCTCTCACCCATATGGAAGACTAGAAGAAAGCTCTAGACCCCTGGCTTCCTCCAGGCCCACACCTTGTCACTGTGGCCTTATGGAGAGTAAGACAGGAAAAACAAAGTCTCGTACTATGTGCTTGGTTCTCCCTCTTACTCTGTCACTCTGCCTTTCAAATAAACTAGTAAAAAAAAAAATGTAAAAATATTGCCATTTGAGCAACTGAGGACCTTCACAGATACCTATTCCCATATCTCCAATCTCCATACTTAACAGCAGTTTTCCATGCTATCTCAGTTTCCCTCTCCAGCAGTCATAGGATGGATACCCTTCAACTAAAGCGCTTTATTTTCAAAATACAAAAGTAACATTTCCCACCTGCATTTGAGATTATTCTTTCCACTTCTCTCCTGTTTAACTATGAATAACCTTGGTTGATTTCTTCTTCTTTTTTCTTTTTTAAGCCTCACTGCAATTTCTAATTCCATGATCTGTCATCCAGCATTTATTTATTCTCTTTATCATACAATGACTGATTCCACGGTCAGCAATTTTCTAAAAGCATTCCCAACTTGATGAACCCTGTTTCTACTACTGCTTTCTAAACTCTGATCAGGCAACCCTAATGTTCTCAATTTCCCTGCATTGTTAGGTCACTGTGTATTAAGAAAAACAACACTGGTAGAAAGTGTAACACTTGCCTAAGAACACAAAAGTTAATTAAGTGTAGAGTTGGCTGATTTGTCCAGATTTGTCTGCACATTTAGCAGTGTAAGGCAATCTAACAACTACCCTTATACCTAATCCAAAAACTCTGTCACTACTTAATACTTTCCAAGATCTTTTTTCAAATTGCTTCTCTAGTATCCACTGCTTCCACCTGGCTTCACAATCATTTGTCCTCCAAAGTCTTCAGCAGCTGGATGAGAGCCTACAGTTTCACACTTCACCTACACCTCATATGACCCACTGTCTTTTATCCATTTCAAATTCTAATCAGCCACAGTTGCTAAAATACAATTATTATCTTAGTATATCACCAGTGAGAAAAACAATTTAAGTAACAATATATGTGACTATGGTACAACTCAAACTAAGAAATTTTATAAAAACTCAGATGTTTTAAGTAAAGACAAAGATTTACACACAAAGTTTTAGATTTACATTTTAAATTTAAGATTATTTTTTTAAACTGTACATTTGTTTATTCAAAAGGCAGAGTGAGAAAAGACCTTTCATCTACTGGTTCATTTCCCCAAATAACTACAATGGCTAGGGATGCGCCAGGCAGAAGTCAGGGACCAGGAACGCCATCCAGCTCTCTCACCTGGGTGGCAGGAACCCAAGTACTGAAGCTAGACGAGAAGCAGGAGGAGGACTCAGTCTCATGCACTCTGATACACAATATGGGAGAGACCCAAGTAGCTTAACTCATTCTATCACAATACCAGCTAGCCCTGTAAGGATGTTATGATATTTAGTTACCAAGACTAAGATTAAGAAAAGTTGTACTAAAACAAACAAAAAAAACAGAAGTAAGCACATATGTAGAAGCCAAGTCACTACTTGGGACACATACATCCTACATGGGTATGTTCAGGTTTGGGTCCCAAGTCTACTTCAACTTTAGCTTCCTACGAATGTGTACCTTGAAAGGGCGGAGAGGATGGCTTAAGTAGTCAAGGCCCTGTTGTTCACATGGGAAACCTGGACTGAGTGCTCACCTCCTGGATTTGGCATGGCTCAGCCCTTGCTATTGTAACTATTGGTGAGTAAACCAGTAGCTAAAGGGTTCTTTCACTCCCCAACCCTCTCTTTGCGTTTCAAATTAATGTATTTTAAAACCCACAGAATTACAATAAAATCCAACAATTCTACTTTTGCATCTACACCTCCCCCCAAAAAGAAAAGCAAGGACTCAAGATTAGTATATCCATGTTCAAAGCAACACCATTCATGACAGCCAAAAAACAGAAACAACTCAACTATCCATTAACAGATGAAGGAACAGAAAAAATGCAGTATGCATGTAACAAAATATCATTTGGTCTTAAAGAGGAAATTTGGAAACATACTATAAAATGAGTAACCCTAGCACAGACTGTGTTGAATGAAACAGCCAATCAGAAAAGGACAGATATTAATATAATCACCATCAGAGTCAAGGAGGAATTAGTTCCAGGAAACCTCTGTGATTACCAATCTCCAAAGGATGTTCAAGTCCCTTCTTTTTTTCTTTTTTTAAGATTTATTTATTTTATTGGAAAGTCAGATATACAATGCGGAGGAGAGACAGAGAGGAAGATCTTCCGTCCAATGATTCACTCCCCAAGTGAGCACAGTGCTATGCCGATCCGAAGCCAGGATCCAGGAACTTCTTCCAGGTCTCCCACACAGGTGCAGGGTCCCAAGGCTTTGGGCCATCCTAGACTGCCTTCCCAGGCCACAAGCAGGGAGCTGGATGGGAAGTGGAGCTGCAGGGACTAGAACTGGTGCCCATATGGGATCCCGGGGCGTTCAAGGCGAGGACTTTAGCCACTAGACTATGCCGCCGGGCCCTCAAGTCCCTTCTATAAAATGACACAGTATTTGAAAACAACCTACACAATATTCCCACATACTTTTAATCTTCTCTACATTATTTACAATGCCTAATGCAACACAAATGCTATATGATAAATTTTGATACTGTAGTGTAATATTGATAATGTACAGATGCAATTTAGTTTTTGAATTATTTTCAATCCACACCTGGTTGACTCTGCAGATATGAAACCACAGCTAACTGCATGATTCCTCTTACATGAGTAGTTACCCAAGAGGGAGGTTCCCACTGTTTCCCTAATGGGTCCACTCCCACTCCCGGATCTTGCACTCTTCAAAGGGTACTGCAGTTTAGCTCAACAGTATTCCCCCTGTGCCCACATTTGCCAGCTGATACTGCGACAAAGCCCAACCAACCTTCCCCCCTCTGGCTTATGCATGCACCAGTAGGTGCAGTACGCCCAGCCTGGCTTGTCCCTGATCCAGCTTACATGTTGTAAGCCTCCCCTGCCTGGTCTGCCCCTGATCCCAGCTCTCACACTCACCAGTGGGAAATAGTGGCCCAGCAGGGGATCTCCCCACAGCCTCCCTACTGGGTTCACCCACACTCCCCTGTGCTGGTTGGGTCTCAAATGTGCTGGCTCAGTGCCGCAGCCCAGTCTGGTATGTATGGCCTGGCTCACTTCAGCATTTGCCAGTGGGTGCTATAGCGTGGCCGGGCCCGGCCCCGCCCCAGTTCCAGCTCATGCTGGTGGGTACTACAGCCTAGCCAGCCCAGCCAGCACCAATCCCAGCGCTAGTGTGAAATAGCTTGTATTGTGGCCTTAACTGGCATGATCCACACACCATTCTGGCTCTCGGATTTGCCAGCGGGTGAAACGAACTGGTCCAGTCAGGCTTGCCCCAGACCTGAGCCAAAGGTAAGCCCATGGTACCGTAACCTGGCCTGGTCTGCTCCCTCTTGGTTCTTGAGCTAACCTGCAAGGACTGTGTTCTGACAGAGGAGTTGCCAAGCTCCTCCATCAGAATCTCTCCCATTACAAGATCTGGTGCACATCAGTGGGTCCATGGGCCAGCCCTACTTAGTCCACCTCTCCTGTCCTGCCAGGAACAGTGGTCTTTCCTGAATGGCCTTCACCCATTCCAGTTCTTATTGTTGGATGCTAACAGCCCATCCTAGCCTTGTCCAAACCCAGACACAGCTCCCACATGGTTCAGCAGGGACAGACTCAGTCCAGCCCATTTTATACCCATCCTGGTTCTCACGAACTCCAATTGCTGCTGGCGTCTAGCCCAGTCTTGCAAGCCCCAAACCAAGTCCATACCCATGCCAAGGGATACTGCATCCATATCCAGACAAGACCACAGCCCCCATTTGTGCCCCTGTGCTCATCAGTGACCCACAACCCAGTCAGGGCATCCCCTTAACTCCCCAACCAGGCCTGATCCCAGCCACTGTTCTCGTGCGTGCCAGTGGTTGCTCTGACCCAGCTTGGCATAGCCCCTCCCTCTACTTGGCCTTGGCCTTCAGATGCTGCAGCCTAGATCTGGCCCACCCAGCCCCAGTCCCAACTCTCGCTGGCAGGTGATACAAAACCTGGCATTGCCTAGTCTGCTCTCATGCCTGACTCATGCAAACCAGTAGGTGTGGCAGCCTAGCCTAGCATGACCTGTACTATATCCTGTTATCTACACTTGCCAGTGGGCTATGGTTTGCTTGGCCCTGCTTGGTTGGCCACCTTCCAAAACCAACTCACACACTTGCTAACAGATGGACAATAAAGTTCATATTATATATAAAATTTTATATATATATAAAATTTTCTTTATGAAAAGTGTTTAGGACCTGGCACAATGGCTCAATGGTTGAATCCTTGCCTTAACATGTACAGCGCTCCTATATGGGTACCAGTTTGTGTCCCGGCCACTCCACATCCCATCCAGCTCCCTGCCTGAGGCCCGGGAAAGCAGTAAAGGACAACCCAAAGTCTTGGGACCCTGCACCCATGTGGGAGACCTAGAAGAAGCTCTTGGTTCATAGCTTCAAGTCAGCTCAGGTTCAGCCACTGGGGCCACTCGGAGTAAACCGGCAGACAGATCTTTCTCTCTGTAAATCTGCCTTTCCAATAAAAAAAAAATAATATCTTTAAAAAAATGTTTAAAGCAATTTATTGTAAAATTATAAATCTGATTTGATATTGAAAAGTAACCAATATTCCCTGAAGTCCAGGAATAATTAAAAAGCCCTTGAATTTTCATCCTGCACTCTCATCATATATTAAATTGATAGCTTACGGATTCCTCTTCAATAGCAGTGTTCATGTGGCTATGGAAACATGATCTGTCATCATCTTCATCCATATACACTGGCGGTTCATGTGAAGTCATAAAGGTGGAAGGTTTGAACAGATGCTTATTAAGGGGGTGCTGTCTTCTGCTTGTTGAAGACTAAATGAAAAAGAATTAAGAGAAGAAAACCACTAATGGCACCAAAATATGTAAGAATGTTACTTTTACCAAGTCTCCTTAAAGTATTTCATTTCTATCCCTTTGTCAATATGCTAACATCAAAACTACGGAAAAAAAAAAGCAGTATAGGGGAAATACCTCAACACCAGTACAGGGAGCAGGTTCAATGTCTGGCTTACTTTTGAATCCCCAGTATTTAACACGCTTTTGACAAAGGTTAGCTTCACCCAAATCCTCTTATGCTCATTTCAAAGGAATATAACAGGTGTTACTTCTGCCACATTTGATTTAAACAAGAGGAAACTGAGGAACAAGAAGTCTGTTTCTTGTTCAATGTATTCAGTTAGATAGATAGTGGTGAACCACAATTACAAACCAGGCCCACTTGATGCCAAAGTCCCCACTCTCAGCAATTATGCAGACCCCCTCTTATGATCAGTACATCATAAAAAAGCACAAGGAATAACTTATTCCATTTGTATCAAATATTAAACTAACCACAGAAAGGAAATATTGTGACTCTGGTTGTACTGGCTTCACAGTTGAATGTCACTAATTTAAGATACAGTGTACACAAAAGAAAGAACACAATTAGGTGTTTGCAATATTTTCCTGTTATTAGCATCCCTTCTTAGCACCAACAACATAAAAGCACATAACAACTTATAAAATCAGCCCAGAAATCAGCCATGATAACTGAAGCCATCATGTTGGAAGACTTGTTATCAAGGTTATAACATTCTGAAATTATAAGATAAAATCTACATTAATAGTATAGATAATGCTATAATTGGAAGGGAAATCCAAATATTTAAAATAATTGGCAAATTAAAACAAGTTTCAAAGCTTTCACCTATTTGCTTTTTACCTTTTTGGAGTATATATATAAATTAGGTGTTCTGCCTGGGACTGGAATGCCAGCTTTCGTTAGCTTTATGAAATACTTCTGAACTCGGCTTGCAACCTAAAGAAACATAACTCTTTTAACACAACAACATGGCAAGGGGTACTTGAATAGCTTTAAAAATCAAAATGTAAATCTATATGTAGTGAATACTAACAGTGTCAAATTCATCATAAAACCTATAACAAAAATAGGGTTGCCACCAAATACATTTGTATTTTCAAATATGCCCCATTCAGTATCATTCAAGTACATTTAAATTTGTTTCTTTCAAAAGTTACATATTTCTAATCCATGAACAGTCACACTTGTGGCATATAAGCGCATTCATTAATAAGGGTGAGATTGTGAAGGAGGAAACTGCAAGATACATTATTACATTTATAATAATAAGAAAGGAAACAGCAGGGAAGAAAGAATGGAGGAGTACAGGGGGAATTTCTGTGCCTATGGAATCATATCAAAAAACTTAAAAAAAAAAAGAAATGTAAAAAATGAAAAATGAATCTATCTACTCATTTTTCAGAACCCATTTTATGTTTTAGCTACTCAAATTAGTTAATTAGTTAATTAGTATATTTTGTATGTGTATCCTGAGAGAATGGACCTGATTTAGTTTTCTAATTCCATTGGATACAAGGTCAGCATACTTGAAACAACCGAGCAAACTAACATACCTTGCAATATGTTGTCTGGGCTTTGGGACTTACAATGATGAAAAAGTAAATTTGTCTCCATAGTTTATAGACTAAATTAAGCTTTGTTCAGAATATGTTTATTTTAAGCATCTTATTCTTAAAACTTCACAAATGTTTTAATGTAATCTATTATGATGCATAGAATTATCTAATTTATGAGGTTTTGGGTATAAACATTTAAAATACATATACTATCTTCTTTCAAAAAAAGGGAAAAACAACTAGAAAATACTAAGACATGGGAGAGCCACAAATCTATTTGCGGAATTTAACTAAAAAGTATTCAATTAGAACATCTATTAAGTATTCAAAAGACCTCAAGTCCATTTCACTTCTAATGCACCTAAGAAAGTAACGAAAGGCAGTCCTAGTGCTTGGGCCCAACTGATGATACAAGAGACCTGGATGAAATTTCGGGCTGCTAGCTTCATCCTGGCCACACCTAGGCTCTTGTCATCATCTGTGGACTAAATCAACAGATGGAAGCTCTCTTTCCATCCCTCTCTCACAATGACTTTCAAATAAATTGATCTTAAACAAGCAAGCAAAAAGACTATCAAAAACATGCCAAAACCCTGCAGCTGTCTCCTCAAATACCTGCTTTGCTGTCCTGTTGCCCAGTTCATCTGCTATCTTCTGCCAGCGTCGCGATTCTACTTCTTCAGGAGGGTATTTCAGCAGAAGCTGTTCAAGTTTTTTCTAACCAAATGCAAGAACAAATTTATGAAAACAACTACACAATCTGAAATACTGAATTTATAAATAAATACATTCACAGTCCATTTCAAAGTACCAAACTCCTTCCACTTTGTTGGGGGTTGCATTGCCAGGAAATTTCATAGTAGAAAAATTTTCTAGCTAGGAGCTGAAGTCTTGACAGGAGTTACTTCTGCTAATTTGGCTGAAAACCCAAGGTAAGATGGAACCCTTCCACTCATGTGGGAAACCCAGAAAGAGTTTTGGGTTCCCAGTTTCAACCTGTCCCCAACCCCAGACAATGCAGTTGTTTTGGAAAATAACCCAGTGGAAGGACGATCATTTTTCTGTCTCTCCATCTCCATCTCTGCTTTGTGTGTGTTGGGAGAGGGGAGAAACAAACAAACAAAAAAACCCACTTCTCAGGGATCAGAGAACATACCTATGAATAAGATCTTTGGGTCAGCTTTATAAGAAATGAAGTTGCCACTTGCAATGCCAGCATCCCACATGGGTGCCAGTTTAGATCGAACTTCTTGGTAATGGCTTGGAAATCAGTAAAGATGGCTCAGGCATTTTGACACCTGCCAACCATATGGGAGTCCAAGAAGCTCCCAGCTCCTGGGTTCACCCTGGCCCAAAGCTAACCACTGCAAACATTCACAAAGTGAACCAGTGGAGGAAAAATCTCTGTCTATGCTTCTCTTTCTGTAACTCTTTCAAAATAAATAAATAAGCCATAAAAAAAGATCTAATTAATTTAAGAAAAAACATAGCAAAGAAAGTAAGTAAACACAGCTCAGTGATTGCTACCTTTTTCTTGGTAAAAAAAAAAATTGGAGGCTCCCCCCTTTATACTTCTAAACAAAAACACATGCAACGCAATGTAAATTCAAGTTGATTTAGAACATTATGAGGCCTTTTCCCCCTCCTTTGTGTGGTTTTCCACTCAAATTCTTCAAACTCATCCCCCAAATTCTTCCAGGGTCTTAAATATGGAAAATAATCTGGATGCTGGAAAAAAAGGTTTTCTAAAAGCTTTTTATAAACTGTTAAACTAATTACAGCTTTGAGGTTTATCCTCATATGGGTCATAGATGTGTCTCAAACTTCACCCTCAAACTATCCTTGCTAATGTTAACACAATCCTAAACTGTATGCCAAAATGTGAGAAAACACTGGCACAGCTTCCTCAGATTCATTCCACTCACATACTAAGCATATTGAGGCTCAGCTTTGCTTGGCCTCAGGTTTTCCCACCAGGAATCTACATTACAAAAGTAACTACTAGCGTTTCTCCCCAAACCCAGGTTTTCTTTTTTAAAAAATTATCCCCAAATGGTAATTCATATATTCTCAAAATCCAAGTCTTTTAACTTACAGAGTAGACAAAAATACATCTCAATATTTTACAGTCATGATTAAAAGGGATTACATACAACAACGTGTGGTTAGCTCACAATATACTGACTATAACGTAACAATTTACTTTTTCAAATCTAAACTATGTCAAATATTACCTGTTCTTCAACAGTCCACAATTGGTTAAATGTTTCTGGTTTGGTATCATCACACAAGCGGCCTCTTATCATCTGCACATAGAATAGGCTTTTGTCAAAGGAACAGTAATAAAGACTACCCTTGATACAGTTAAATTCAGATACTTCTAAAGAACTTCAACATTTTAGTGAATTCACATTTAAAGGTAAATTTTTTTTTTTACTCTTTACTACACACTGTCACATTCTTTTTTTTTTTTTTTTTTACTGTAAAGTCAGATATACACAGAGGAGGAGAGACAGAAAGATCTTCCATCCGATGATTCACTCCCCAGGTGACAGCAACGGCCGGTGCTGCACCAATCCAAAGCCAGAAGCTCTTCTAGGTCTCCCCCACAGGTGCAGGTTCTCAAGGCTTTGGGCTGTCCTCAACTGCTTTCCCAGGCCACAAGCAGGGAGCTGGATGGGAGCTGGAGCTGCAGGGATTAGAACTGGCGCCCACATGGAATCCAGGCGCTTTCAAGCAAGGACTTTAGCCGCTAGGCCATCACACCGGGCCCTTCATATTCTTTTAACGTGATCTTATACGCCTAATAATTTTGTGATGTACACGATAGTAACTTGATTTTAAATATAAGGAACTATAGGTTCAGAATGGAAAAATTTCTCTTTATATAACTCTGCCTTTGAAATAAATAAATAAATATACTGGGCAATTGGCATCTGGACAATGTTGTCCATGACTGTATATTGTCTCTTAGCTGCCCCTCCGCACTTTTTAAGATTTATTTATTTTTAAAGGCAAATTTTACATAAGCACAGAAGAAAAACTGAGAGGTACTTCATCTGCTGATTCTCCAAATGGTTGATCTGAAGCTGGAAGCCAGAAGTTTCTTACACATATCTCACGTGAGTGCAGGGGCCAACTGACTTAGGCCATCCTTCCCTGCTTTCCTAGGCCATACGCAGGAAGTTGGGGATTAAGTAAAGCAACCAGAACATGAACTAGTGCCCACATGGGGTGCCAGTGCAAATAGGCAAAGTATTAGCGCCAGCCCAACCTTTCTGCCTCTGATCCAACTCCCTGGTGAAGCTCCTGGGAAAGCACTGGGAGACCTCCCAAGAGTGCTCCTAGAGTTCACATGGGGCACTGCAAAGGATTTCCTGGCTCTTGGTCGGCTTGGCCCAGCCCTCCCAACAGATACAACTATTTTGGAAGTGAACCTGTCAATGAGAGCTTTCTCTCTCTTTCTCTCTCTCTCTCTGTATCTCTGACTCTCAAATACATAAAATCTTTTTAAAAATAGTAATGAACATGTCTGACAAGGTTCATGTAATGGTTACAGGTTTAAGCTAAAAGGCTAGTTAACATTCCACTACAGTGAGTCATTATTACTTTAAGGGTCAGTACCATGTGTCAAAACTGGAGTAGGAACATTAAACGTATCTACCCATTTAATCCTCACAACAACCCTACAACACAACTAATATTAATTGCACTTACTATTAGAGGAAACAATAACCTAAAGACTATAACATAAGTTTCTCCTAATTTCAATGTCCTTGTGAAAAAGTGCCTTAATTTTAAAAAACACAAAGCTGTAGTATATTCAAAACAATTCATTACAAGTTTTCACTTTTAAAGCATTAAAACATTTCACACAAGTTTTCCTACTCTCACATTTCATACTGCTCACCTGAGGACGACTGCTTGAGCCTTCTGGACCATCACTCAGAGGCAACATAGAGTATGAAAGAGATTCTCCATCCTTCTTGGGATCTAAAGGACTTTTTGGTCTAGCAGGTAAACCTACTAAAAACATGACCATATATGGAATCACACCAGTAAAACATTGTCAGATATTTCTCCATTTAAATTTTTTGCATGATTTCTTACCTTTATCAAAAACTAGTTTAACTCTCCTAGTGTGCCTTTTACGATTTTTAAATTCTCTTTCAAAATTCCCAAGGCTATTTGTATACTGGTCCCATACAATCTCAGGCAACTGAACAACTCTCTGTGGATACGGAAGCCCTATATCAGCCTAAAAAAGAGAACAAAATCCAAGTGACAGCCTAAATTTAATTTAAAAAACAATCAACTATAATCAAATTTTCAGATGACATCAAATCAAATAAGCAGCAACTAAACATTTCAATTTACTGTTTGAAGCCAAGAGAAAATTGAGACAAATAAAACATTAAATTCTAAATATAATAAAATTTTTTTAAATGTGGCAAAATGCAAACATTACTTTTAGACAATAAATCTGAAGTATGCAAACACGATGTAGTATATCAGTAACATACTTAACATATACTCCAAAACAAAAAGTTTAACTGCAGCATATGAAATATGTGACAATAAGACTAAGAACACAGAATTTTAAACGTAGCTGCATGACTATGATTTATTACTAAAATAATAGAAGGACCAATTGAATACCACACCAAGTAAAATGTTAACCATTTTCTCTCTCAATACGCTGATGTGCAAATGTAAATCCCCCACCCCACCAGGCAAAAAAGCTTTATATCCTTCATTACTTATTTTTTAGCTTACTAATCTTGCTTTATTAAAAAAAAAAAAAAAAAAAAGAACATACTCAAAAAAGAGAGGCTAACAGAATAAGCTGGGAAAAATGACAAAAAACAAACATATGTTTAAGTAGTTTCCATTCAAATATCCCAAAAATACCTTTCACTGCCTTCTTTTCTGCACATTTATTTGATGGGTACGGAAGGGGATCTGCTGCCTTTACAGGATAGTTAATCACAGAAAGGGGAGTAAATGAATGCTTCCTAAAACACTATATACCCACACAAATAAATTATTTCATTAACGAATAAATCTTAACAGTCTTTAAAAGCAATCTATACCTTCTTCTGAAGTTTTTCCACAAATCCAATGGGATTTTTTAGTGCTTCTCTCTGGTGTTTGCCTAAACTTTCAAGGTCTTGGACTGCTTGCGAACGCTGAGCCTCAAGTACAGCAATCGTCTGTAACAGTCTCTGATAGCTACAGAGACAAAGAAAAATAGCTTACTAAAACTTTCTAATAAGAACAATAAACAAAAGCTGAGTTCAAACCAGGACCTACTAAATCACAAGGTCTTTTTACAGTTACCTAAAAGAATTTAGTAAAATATGTTATTGGGAATAAATGAGGTCATCCTGAGTTAAGATGTACTTCATCAGAATGCACCAGAGAAAACAATGCCTTCTTTTCCCATCTTAAGTGTTGAATTCTCGAACAAGTATCAAAAAAAAAAAAAAAAAAAAAAAAAAAAAGCATCTTGACTTTCCAGCAATTAAAGTCATTATGAAACTGTTGGATTAAAAATATTAATAAATCATAGGACTTTAACACTAGAAGCCACCAAATTCAATCACTCTGGCACTCTGTTGGAATAAGGGATTTTATGACCATTTTTTATGACCAGATCTTTCAGGACCCTGACCTACAACACAACCATGAAAGAAGGTCTCATGATTCTCCTTTGCTCTCTTATAGTCCCATTTTAAAAATTAATTTTCCCATCAAGGAGTCTGTTATAAATTATCCTGTGCATTTAAGATGGAGAAAATACTTCATTCGTAAGTATTAAGCATTTATAGATAAGACCACAAAGATATTTTTACTTCTGTCTGCAAGAATTCACCAATCACAATTAAAACATTCTACCACCCAGACAAATCAACTGCCTCTCCTTATCCTGAAATTTCACGTTTGTGCACGCATGTGAGTGTGCAACCCTGAATACACACACACACGAATATATGTGTATTCAGGGCAAAAGTCCCAAGTAGCCAAATACATTTCATGAGAACAAAACGTCACTCCAAGTTTACTTTAATATAAAGTGATTTGAGTCCTTTGAGTATCAAGAAAGCAATTACTTGACGACTTCAAATAAATTTTAATATTCCACTAGACTACAAACTCCATAATGGTAAATAAATCAGTTAACCATTTTGTTTAGCCTACGTGCAACACACTTCTTAGCATACACACAACAAGTATTTTTTGAATGGACAGAACGGGTTGATTTCTGTGCAATCAAAAATATACTGAATGAAAAATTTTTTAAAGTATACCGAATCATCGAAGTTCAGAAGTTTGCAAACTTGTAGAAATAAAAGCTGTAACAATGCAGTTTTGAGACTCAGAGCCATAGTGCAGTCACTATATGCTGTTCTATTATAACTTTCTTAGTCCACAGCCTAAAACATGATGTTTGAAGTTTATATTAACTCATCTTTGATGAAACATTTTAAAATTAAGGCAAAGGTGTTAACACTGAATATTAAGACCACTCCCAAGCGTGAAATGCTTTACTTCACAGCTAGAATTCTGAAATGAAAGCTACGGTTGTACTAAGTCAGTCCTGAATATGTTAGGATTCCCTAACATTGTTTTGCTTTGCAGAATATGAAGTAGTATGGAAACCTTGCCTCCCTGTCTCTATTAAACAGATTCACCCAAAGCTCAATCAGAGCATAAAGACAGTAAGCTGGATGGTAGAAGCTCTTTCTCTGCAGTATTAACTTCCTGAATTTGCACCCTGCTAGCTGAACACAACCAAAGACTTTAGATTGTCTCTATCCCTGTTAAAAGGCTGCACATTTCAAAGTCACTTTAAAAGTTACTTTAGGGTGGGTTGGGTATTATGGTGCAATGGGTCAAGTCCTGTCTTGGGATGACCACATTACATACTGGAGTGCTGGTTCAAGTCAGCTTCCACTCCAGCATCCTACCAATGAGCCTCAAAAGGGGGATAATGGCCCATTACTTATACCAGCCAACCTTATGGGAGACCTGAAGGAAGTTTTGGACTCCTGGCTTCAACCTGGCAATCATTTGGGGGAATGAACTAGCACATGGAGTATCTCTCTCTCATCTTCCTTTTCTAATACATAATGCATCTTTTAAAAACCAAATTTTATTAAACTTTCAACATTCTAATACACACTAAAATATAAGGACATTAGCTGAGGCTTGCAAAAATTTACATTCGGGAAAACAGATGTATTTTTATTGTCAGGAGCGAGGAAAAAAGTCCACTATTTGTTAGGATTGTTTAAAGACCCTAAGAATATTCAGCCAAGAAGCTAAAGCAAAATATTACTGCAAGATTTAATGAACAGCTATGAGAACAGAATTATAAAAATTAGACAACAAATACTAATACAAAACATGAAAAAGTAGAGGAAACTGAGTTTGTGGTAAATGGTAACCAATTGTTCATTACTTCTTCACAGTTGTTGCTTTGTAAACTTTAAAATTCTTTAAGTTTTGCTATGCTTTACACTGTCCTTAATAAACAGCAATAAGTTCCTTATAATACTTTGTAATTAGAAAAGAACACCATGATTCCCCTATGAAAACAGTTTGATTAAACACACTGAAAAAAGGAGGAAGTAACGAGACAAGAATGAATGCATTTCTTTAGCTACTCTAAGAAAAAGGTCAAAGCAAGAACTGAATGCAAATGAAAACAAGAACTCAGGTCCAGTAACTACTGCCTTTGCAGGTGCATTGGCAGGAAGTGGGATTGGAAGTGGAGCAGCCAGGACTCTAACTGGCAGTCATAGGATGGTGGTGTCATAAACAGTTGCCCAATTTGTTGTGTAGTAACCCTGGCCTTGATTAATGAAATACAAGACAGTGGTCCTGCTCATCATGCTTTCCAGCAACATACACCTAGACACAAAGTTAAAAATTTTTGGAGGAATATATCTTCGTCCTTTGACTCAAAGATAACCCATTTAGTAATTTTTCCAAAAAAAATTAAACAGCTCAATCTGAAATCGTCACACATCACACATACAAGAAAGCAAGACAAAAAGAACTTGAAAATCTAAAGGGATTAGGAAACTACAAAAAATTGAGCATGATTCTTTGAAAATGAAGCAAATAAAAGCATTTTCTACATATAAAAATTAAAACTGAAAACACATTGGGGCAAATTTCCTCTTCCAAAAAATAAAGACAAGACAAAACAGATAAAGACAACCAATAAGTTAAATTTAAAGGTTTTCAATCAAAAGCACTAACAAAATTGGGAATGCTGTAAGGTCAAGATCTGTGAGAGGACAGCAACCAGAAAGATAAAACATGCTTTGGGGACCTTTTTGCCCCACAGCAATGTACTGATCCTGAAGGCAGGATTTACAGGCTCAGCATATCCTTTGACTATTTAACTTTGCAGATCAAAGTTGTAATCTAAAGGGCCAGAGCAGTGGTACATGAGGTTGGACCACTGCTTACAATGCCAGCATCCCATATTGGAGCTAGGTTCAGTCCCAAGTGTTTCACTTCCAATCCAACTTCCTGCTAATGCACGGGGTAAGGAGGCAAAGGGCTTAGGCCCTTGCAACTGATGCAAAAGATGACGGAATTCTTGGTGCAGGCATTCAGCCTGGTCAAATTACTGGATGCTGCAACCACTTGGAGTGAACCAGCAGAATAGAGAGATCTGCTATTCTTCTAAGTAAATAAATAGGTAACTGGGCCCGGCGCCTTGGCACAGTGATTAAGGTCCTCACCTTGCACGCCCGGGATCCCATATGGGCGCCGGTTCTAATCCCGGCAGCCCTGCTTCCCTTCCAGCTCCCTGCTTGTGGCCTGGGAAAGCAGTCGAGGACGGCCCAAAGCTTTGGGACCCTGCACCTGCGTGGGAGACCCGGAAGAGGCTCCTGGCTTCGGATTGGCATAGTATCGGACGTTGCGCTCACTTGGGGAGTGAATCATCGGATGGAAGATCTTCCTCTCTGTCTCTCCTCTCTGTATATCCGCCTTTCCAATAAATAAATAGTAAAAATAAATCTTTAAAAAAATAAATAGGTAACTACTCGGTTTTGTTTTGTTTTGTTTTTAATATGTGGATTCTAGGGCCCACGAGCTGTTGAATCTAAGAACCACCCCAGTCTTGATGGGATCCTGAGGGCTATTCCTGGAGCATAGAAACACAGTAAGTAAACAGCACTCTCAAACTGCACTAGAAAATTTCGGTTTGGAACTAAGCAATCAGATGCACATAAGCCACCCGATACCTTACTTATGAATATATATGGTATAAAACATATTCATTACAACACTAATCTAATAACAACTCAAATGTATACTTAATCATAATGGTATACTATGGTATACGCAGTCCACCGATATAAAACCCCTTAACCCATACCCCACACCACACTATTAAAAAGTGAACTCATCACTTTCCCATTCACTCACCCCCCACTTCCCAAAAACAATAAACCTTCCCCTCAACTTACAAACCCCACAAACCCCCCCTCCCAAAAAACTACCCACAAATAACAAAATCCACTTTCCACACTTCACCCCTCAATAAATCTTCCAATATTCAAATACAAAACAAAAACCCCACCCTTTAACCCCCCATTACAACTAACACCCCAAACCCACACCCCACAAAACACAACCTCCACATTATATATTAACACTACAAACACCCCCATACACCATCCAATTTAACCAACAATATATCTCCACCACTCCACTACACTCACTAACCCCCACCTCACCCATCTCACTCTCCACCCTACCACCCTATCAAACAATTCCAACACACCATACCCTCAAAACCCACTCAGTATCCATTTTATATATATACAAAACAGATATAACCAAACACCAAACTCTCGCCACCACACGAGATAGAATCACACACCAACATACCCCCATTGCCTCCCGACTACTCTCTGTAGCTCGCTCTCTCACATACCCAAAAACCAAAAACACTTCCCTTTTCACACCCTATCTTGCTCTCTCTCTTCCTCAAATAATATCAACTACCACTATCTTCTTACCATACAATCCTCAACATCCTCATTATCACAAACTTTACCCCCCCTCCCTATTATATCTTTACCTCCTAAATTTCCATCATAAACCCTTCCCCCTCCTTTCCAGATTCATTACATCTCCACTTATTTAACTCCATTAATTCCCCAAATTTCTCACCTTTTTATCCATCCTATCCCCACCGCGCT